TATAAGGAAGACCTTAGAGGAACAAATTATTCCGCAGTGAGATAAATATCGAAGGACGCTATTGGAAGAAATGAAAAGTCAAAAAATTTATGAGGATTTTCCAGAAGTTAGAGGACTAAGAGAAACTATCAAAAATTGCGAACAAGAAATACGTCGCCTTCAATCTCCAGACTATATAGAAAACTCAACCCGAGTTAAGAAGTTGGAAGGAGAAAAAAAAGAAATTGAGGATAAGCACTGAAAGACCATAGAAAGTTTGCAAAATAAAAACCAGGAATTACAAAAAGAACTAACTGAAAAAAAGGAACAAATTCAGAATTTAGTATTAAGGCAAAAAGGACAGGGCAAAGGGCAAGATTTTGAAAAATGATTTTACGAGGAATTACTTAAAGTTTTCGATGGTCAAGATAGAATTACCGATGTAAGCAAGGGGCAGGTTGGAACCGGAAAAAGAGCCGACTTTCTGCAAGAGGTTTTAACCGAAACTGAGCCAAAAAAGGTGGTTGGTCGAATTGTTTATGAAACTAAAAATACTGAAAAATGAGACAATGGTTGAGTTGATAAATTGGAGCGGGACATGGTATTTCATCATGCTGACTATGGCTTCATTGTTGCTACTTGCGAAGGCGACAAAATTATCAGGTCCGCTAAAACCACCGACCCACGAAAAAAGATTTACATTAGCGGTGACAACATTAATTTATTCTTAGCAATCAAGACCATCCGAGAATTATTAATTACCAAACATAATCTTACGAAAACTGATAACTCAGTCGATAAAGAACAAAAACTAAAAAAAATAGAGGAATGAGTCAATGACAAATTACCTAAATATATAATTGATTTAGAAAAACAATTGGCAAACCAAGAAAGTACGGCTAATGCGATTATTGAAAAGGCAATTAAATTAAAAAAATATAGGGATGAAATTTACCGATTAACAATGATTAATATTAACGAGGAATTAAAAAAGCATTTAGCATAATATTAAAGTTAATAATTTAAAAAAAACTATCGCTGGATTTTTCCACAGAGAATTAATTTTTGAATGGGGGATCAGTTTGGTGACAGCATGGACTAGTCCCTCTGGCCAAATCTCACAATGAGAAATTAATTTTCTTAGTCAAAAGGAAAACAATTAATCCATTAGTCCAATGTTAAAATATAATATATGGTAAGACCAAGAATTACAGAACCAAAGCCAACTTTAAATATTTCTATTAGTCCCCATTTATACAGGAGGCTAAAAACCGAAATAGGTGACCGAAAAGTCAGTGGATTTGTGGAAAGGGCGATTGCTAAGGAACTGGGAGAGTATGATAATAAATTAGAAAAAGGGCAAAAAGAATTTCAGCAAAAACTAATTGCTGACTATAAAAGATATGCTGGCAGAACTTATGATAAGGAAGATAAAATGCGAGAAGAAGCAGGAATAGAAGAGAATTAATGAACAGTAAAATCCCTAAACAAGGTGAATTTTGGTTAGTAGACTTTAATCGCAAAAAAGTTAAAGAACAATCAAAAATTCGTCCCGTGCTAATTCTGAGCAATAACTGGCAGAACCAATTTAACAAATATGTAGTGGTTGCTCCTTCAACCAGCGAAGAGGAAAAACTAAAAAATGTCGCTGCCTTCGAAGTATTAATTGAAGCCAATCAAGAAAATGGGTTTGGATAAAAAGGAAAGATGCTTCTCCACCGCTTATTAGCGATAGAAAAAGAAAAACGGTTAATTGTTAGATTAGGACAAGCCGATAGTAAGATTTGG